GGTGCAGGCTCTGGGAGGGAGTTTGGGTGCAGGAAGGGGGGAGGGCTCTAGGAGGGAGTTTAGGTGCAGGCTCTGGGCTGGGGGAGGGTGTTGCGGTGCGGGAGAGAGTGAGGGGTGAAGGCTCCAGCTGGGTGGTGCTTACCTCAGGCAGCTCCTGAAAGCGACTGGCACAACCCTCTGGCAGTGGCTCCTTAGCGGGCAGGTTAGGGGTTCTCCGTATGCTGCCCCTGCCCACAGGCATCACCCCTGCAGCTCCCATTGGCTGCAGTTCCTGGCCAATGGGAGCTGTGGAGTCAGCGCTCGGGGTGGGGGCAGTGCACAGAGACCCCCTGCCCTCTCACAGGGGCTGCAGGAATGTGCCAGCCACTTCTGGGAGCGGTGTGGAGCCAGGGCAGGTAGAGAGCCTGCCTTAGCCCCCGCTGGACTTTTAGCACCTAAAATCTCCCAATTTGGCTTCAATAGCCTCCAGGAGATCCCGCCTGATTCCAAGAGATGCTGGGAGAGACAGGGAGGAGTTGATCAGAGGGGCCCACGGACTAACTGGAGTACCCTCGGGGACCCCAGTTTGAGAAACGCTTCTCTATACAAAATAAAAGTTGCATCATAATAGTTCAGACTGGTAGTAGCTAAATAAGGCATAAGATAAGAATGGCCATACTGGGTCAGACCAATGGTCCATCTAGCCCAGTATCCTGTCTTCAGACCGTAGCCAGAGCCAGGTGCTTCAGAGGGAATGAACAGAACAGACAAATATTGAGTGACCCATCCCCTATCAGCCACTCCCAATCATTGCTTGTCAGTATGGCTCTACTACTTAATCATTTTGAATTGCATACATTTTTAGTAGTTTCATAGTACCCTCCTGCTGAAATGTTAGAGTCAATTCTCATATGTTAGGGTGTCCAAGCATATAACTGGATAGAGGGAGGAAGAAAGATGTTTCAGGTGGATCCTATTTATCTGAGAAAGTCATATGAAGTAGCAAAGTGGACTCTCTAGAAAAAAAACACACCCCCATTTCCCCCCATTTATAAAATGCATCTCCTGCCACTCTGGTGAAGGTGCAGGAAAGTTCCTTTCATCTTCAACCCATTCCTCCCCTTGCAAGGCTGCTCAGGGACTAGCTACTCCCTGACTCTTCGTGCTTCAGTTTACTCATTGATAAAGCATGAATAACCATTTGCTTAACTCACCAGGACATTGAGGTTCCATTCTTATGTAAAGCATATTGAGATCCTGGGGGGGGAGGAGAGTACATATAAGTACAAAATACTGCTAATTTATCTTATGGGCCAGAAAACTGACCAACTAAAACCTTGCAACACCACTGAATTCACCTCTTTCCAGAACACATTTTCACACTTAAGTTCAGGCCCTCATTAACCTGAGTCAGCAGGTGCTGTATATTATTAACCTTGGTTAGTCCTGGAGATTCTACCAGGACATGTGAGCTTGTGGCAGAGAGCAGCTGTAGCTTAAATACTGGAAGAGATTGTTTCTTTTTCCTGCTGCTAGTTTACAGTATTCTTGATTTTATGTACATGGTCAAGGCTAGACAAGAGGTGGCTCAGGCTGTAACCAATAAAGCCAGTGAAGATTTCTACAGAGAGAAAGAATTGGGCTGTGCTTGGAACCAGACCCAGATAAATAGTGAAGGTAGGAAAGGGGTAGGCCCTGGAAGCAGTCTCTAGGACTTACCTTGCATCACTGGGAGAAGTAGCTGCTATCCCAAGATATTTTTTTATCTTTTCTTTTTTTCCTTTACACCATTCCAACTGGCAATGCTGCTGTTCAGCTGCAGGGTGTCTTTAGGAGTGAGCTGGTGGGGAACATGCCTCTTTTATGAAACAAAATAGAGGGGGCAGGGTGAGTGAGCTAGCCCTAGTCCCAACTACAATGGGTTATACAAATTTCTATTGCAAGCTGCAAATTGTTATATTTATGGGTTTGAGCTAGTTGGATAGTTTAAAAAATACTAAGCCTGGTGAGGTTTGGGCAATTCACAGCATAGGGCATGAGAATGTCACAAAAGTAGCACTGGAGTCTGACAAGTAGCTGGGGATCACTGCTATGGAGTTGCACCTGGACAGTGTGTAATCAATCAGCTGATTAATGCAGACCCTACATTTAATGCATACGTTTATGACGATCAATTTTTTTTTAGCATCTGCATTCACTCTTTTATAAATAAAAGTACTGTGTAGCAAGTGTTTTTAAATGGGGTTGCTGTCTGGGACAGCTCTAGTGGCAACAGTCATTTTAAGAGAAAAAATAAACAACCAACCCAGCCTGTGAACTCTTGTCTCTGCCTTCCAACCGCAGCAACAGCCTTAATCATTCGCTAGCAATCCTTTTCTGAAGTGGCTGGTGTGTGAGGAGCTTTGCAAACCACTCCTTGTTTTTAAAGGCTTTTAAAAGGGTGCTGTAATGAGTTTCTTCCCTAAACTCTACCCAGGACACAATCCCTGCCTTAACTCTGGTCATCCTTGCTGCATTCCCTATGTGCATCTGGAATTCACACTTACATCAGAAAATGAAGCCAAGACTTGTAGTAATGTCCCTTTGACTATAGTAGAATGATTGGATGGATTCTCTCTGCTCAGCTAGTATCATGATTGCCTGAAATGCAAACTGACCCCCCACTATTAATCCCACTCTCTATTCTGTATGCAGTTCAGACAGTGGCACTGTGTGTAACTTAATAAATATGTAAGCAAAGGTTCAGCTAGAGCAGGCTTTTACTCAGGTCACAAATAAAAAGGCTGGTAGCTGGAGGAGGAGGAAGGGGAGTGCTCTGAGAGTGAGGGGCTTATCTCTGATCCCTTGTTAAGTCATGCCTCTGAGCAGAGTTCCTCTGGGCATGGCCACTGACTCCTTAGGTGCCTTTAAGGAGCAGTGGGCGCTGTCAGGAACTCTCTACTGGGTGTCCCCTTCTGCTTCCCTGATTTTTAACCTTTGGTCCTCACTCCTGTTCCTGTATTTTCATTTGTTGTCCCCAGAATTGACTTGTGGCCTGGGTTCAACAGCTCCTCCCCTATGTTGAGGGACTAGGCCTTTAGGTTTGGGTGGGCCAGGCCCATCATCTTCCAGTAACCACAACAGGACAATAAGGCTGCTGCCCCTGGCCCTTAAGACTCTTCCTGGTTTGTGTTTTACTTGTGAACACAGCAAATCTAGTCAAAGGGAGAGGTCCTCTATCTGTCTTTTTGCTCAGAAGATGTGATCTTCAGCGGGTAGACAGCACGTGCTGCATTGCAAATTCTAGATTCTAGCATGCCCCTCCTTCCTAACTTTGGAAGCACAAGTGATATTCACTCTTCATACCTTTAAGGCTTCTCCTTATTTTTTCTAGCAAGCCTGTGTGTGCCCCAGCCATCCCAGTCACATTTTTGACCGAGAAGCAAGGATGTTACAGATCTCTCCAGTATGTGGAACAAGTAATATGTAAGAGAGGCAGAGGAACAATGAAAAGACCCTGTCAAGTCTGAGTCATGACTGAATATAGGATAAGCCCCACAATAGTGAGGTGGCTAAGTCATACAAGGTGGGTGGGATTTTTGAAAGGACAGTGATGGCCTACCTCTTCCCTCACTGAAATTTTTCCATGGACTTCAGTGAAAGCAGCACTCAGCTTTGGCCTACCTCTTTTTTTTATATGCTGTTCTGCTTCTTTATTTAACTTTTGCTCCTTCATTTTTGAGCTGAAGTGGCTTATGCAGAGTAGATCCACAATCAGGCATTAAGGATTCAATCCCCTCTTGCGCTGCCCATGCTGGCTACTTAGGACCCAGCTCGGGTCTGGATTTGATTCTTGGGGCTTCTCTGCACACAGAAATTGTACTGCTTTAACAATACTGGCACCAGTGGTGCAAGTGCACTCCATTTCTTACTGGTACGGGATGGGGAAGCAGCTAACGGGGGGGGGGGGAGAGGCAGGTGACCACCTCACATGACCCTCCCAGCCCGAGGCCTCCATGCTCTCCCCAGCCCCTTCCCATGATCTACCCCCCTTACCGGTGTCTGGGGGGGGGGGCTTTCTCCTCCTCCCACTGCACTGGACACTTCAGAACCGCAGTGGCGAAAGGAGCAGAATGTGGAGCCGCTCTACCGCCCCAGCCCTTCCATGCAGGGTCTCCTCCGTCTGTACAGCAGCAGGATTGGGGGCGGTACAGCCACACTGGAGGAGCTGCTGGTGTGGGGCCGCCTGGTGGCCCCATGTTCTGCTCCTCCTGTGTCTTTCCAGTACGCCATACCAACTATAAATATCTTGCTGGTATGGCGTACTGGACTGGACCACCCTACTTGCATTGCCGACTGACACAGTTATTCCCACACAGGAAGGGGAATAAGTTATCATGGTATAAGGCACCTTTATACTAGTATAACTATTTCAGTGGGGAAAGAATCATACTCTATTGAAATATGAGGCCAGCTGTTAGAGATAGAGCTTTCTGGGGTATCAGAAAGTTGAGTTTATCATCCTTATTCCATGCTAACAGCTTCTCAAAGGTCAAGCTTTCTACTGGGTGAGATTCAGAAGGGGGTTAAGAATCAAAAACTTCTGAGCTGTAACTAAGCACAGTAAGAAACTGAATAATGAAAACATTAGAAAGTATCTTGTAGGGAACAACCCTGAATTGGCAGGGAGATGGACTAGATGATTTAAGAGCTTTGTGTTTTCCATTTACACCTTTGATTTCCCAGGCTTTCGTGTATTGCTCACTCAGTACCAGATTTTCATGAGCTCCATAGTCTGGGTTCTGAGCCGTTTTGAAAACCTGGCCATAAGTGTCACAAGGTGAGCTGCTGGGTGCTGAGCTCTTCAGAAAATATGGAACCTCTGGTTTACCGTGGTTCAAATGTTTAATGGGTGGCTGAATATAAAATGAAACCCCTCACAAAATGCCTGGCAGACATTTCCACCATGCTAGTCTCTGCCCATATTAGTTATTAGAACCAAACAAGTTAAAAGCCTTTAATTAATAAGAGAATAACCACTGTAGATGGAATGTTTCATTTTATTTAAGAAAGTCTTGCAGGAAAACACAAGAGCAAAATTTCTTATCTTCTAATTTCACTTCTGTTTTAAAAATGATAGCACAATTGTAGAATATTGGCAGATCTAAGCAGGCTTAACATAACAGCAGCATTAAACATGATTGAAAAGGTTCTCTCATACAGCGTCATCAACAGTTGTAATACTATCAAGATGTTTGCATTTGGATTGATATTTTTCTGTTTTTTACATGTGCTTTGCAGTGTCAAAGGTTCTTTGCTGGATGGAATCTTCACCAGAGTCATTTCCATACAATTGATGAACAATTTACAGGCTCATTTTCTTTTTGATGTGTTAATATGTTAATTTCCAGAGTCAACGAATGGAAAAAAGAGAACAGTTTTTGTTTTTTGACAGTTCATTTTGTGTTCTCTCTTTTAACCACCACCCTATAATATAGAACCTTGCTCACACACACTGGTTTAATTAAACTGGTTCAGTTAAACAAGTCGAAACCCGTAGGTGGGCCCACTTATTTCAGTTTAAAAGGAACTTTGGTTTATCTTAAGTCAACTGGGAACAGGTGTAAGCTAAACCGAAATGTGTGTCCATACACAGCTTTGCGCCAATTTAACTATACTCCTTTAAAAACTAATTGAAGTCACACCAGTACAACTTTTCCCTATAGACAAGGCCTTAGTTTTGTATAGATTAAACCTCTTCCTAATAAACTTAAGCTAAACCACAGTAAGTCTGGTTTAGACCAAAACAAGAGAGTAGCTCATAGAAATTGTTTATGAATGACCACATAGATGGCATTTGACTCCAGTTAAGAGCAATATTTTTGCTGCTAGAGAGGTGCTCTGTTGCAGTGGTTGTGGAGAAAAGCGAACGTACTTGCACATGTGGTGGTTATGTGAAGGAATTAGATGGTTTTGTAAGGAAATTATTAAAGAGCTTTATCTTAAACAACATGCTGGCTTCCTAGAGGTCCCCTGACCTGCTTACTTAACTCTCCAGTAAAGCATCTGCACTGTAAGTAGAATGACAAGTAAAAAAAAAAATTTTTTTTTTTACTGTTAGACTTTGTATTGCATTTTATTGGGAAAATGTGACCTCCTCCTACAGAACTGTGATATAGTAAAATATGGACTGTCCTTGTAATGAAAAGCTTTCATACCAATACATAAACAAGACAAATGCCAAAAAGAGGATGGGTGTTTAGAAATATGCTCACCCTTTTTAGTGTAAGAGGAGGTAGGCTACCCAGACAGAATTTTTAGCCAGGTTCTTTGAATATTAACCAGATCCCGAAGAAATGATGTACAATGTAGTATGTTAACATTTCATTGTAACATTGTAGTAAAAGGTTTCAAAATGAGACTGTCCACACACATAGTCTTTTGCATGTGTTTAACAAAATCAGTTAAAAATGACAACTTCAGTTAAGCTGGAGCACCTCTGTGTGCAGACAGATCCAAAGTCAGTATTGTGGTTTACTCTATGGGACCCTCCCACCTTGCTGAGTCCTGGAGCCTGGGCTCCAGGCCAAGCCTGAATATCTGAACTGCAATTAAACAGCCCCTTGGCCCGAATCCAGGTCAGCTGGTGCAGGCCAGCCATGGGTTATTAATTGCAGTGTAGACATGCCCTCTATTTGCTTCACTAGGGGCAGCAATGATGGGAGCACTAGCATAGACAGGGAACCAGCATTTTCACTGTCATGCCACCTAACTGGCCAGAGCACATGTAGATGACACCAGTTAAAACATCGTGGGTATCATGTCTGCCCTAGATTTCCCCTAATGGGGACTTGCACCAGTGGCAGCAAAGGAAGGAAGTTTAGAGAAAACGTTTAGCTTAGACAAGGCCTCCAAGTAGCTCAGTCAAGCAGAAGTAGTACTAACATATGTGAAGATATCCTCTTCCTCTGCAAAGGATAATGCAGCTGGTGGGCAGGGGATCTTTGACTGGTGTACATCAAGCAATGTACAAATGGCTTACTCTCTGCTAACCTCTCTGCTGCCTTGCTCTGCTGAAACCCCCGAAGTGAAGATAACTGTGCAAGTGACAATCAAAAGATATCAGGATGAGGAGGTTCTTTCCAATTCAGGGAAAGAGTCGCTCCCTAACGGGGAGAGGAAACTGAAGAGATAAAAGCAATTGAAGTGCTATTGTGCATATCCCCTGGAACAATCAACCAGGCTCATCAATAATAGGAGCTGTCAGATTCACAGAGCTTGATTGCTTGCTGCTATTACTGGATGCAGCCACTGCAATTACTAGTGCTAAGAAGGCATATGAGTATAAACCGCCAGACCCACAGGTACATTTAAGAGGACAAAGAAGCTGTGTATAATAGACAGAAAAGCAGCAGATAGTGGGCTGTTGCTTTACAGTGAGCATTTTAGTAGTTTCTTTCTTTGGTTGTTCCATGCTCACATAACCACCCTAATGTTATCCAGTGGCTTTCGTGTCAAATCAGGCACAGTGGCATCTTTGCTGGGGTACCCAACAGGGAGCAGCAAGAGTAACTTCTCATTTTTGGGGCGTTGGAGCAGCACCCTGAGGCGAGGGCCACAGTTCAGAGGTGTTGAGGTCACTGTGACCAGACCCACGTTCTAGAACAAGAGAGAGAGAGAGACAAACAGAAGCACGGTGCAGTTTAAACTGAATGACATAAAATTAAGTCCTCCAAGTTTGTAGATGACCTTCCATGCCCATCTTCCTACTGTACAGTCCAAACATGCTCACACGCTTTGAACCTTTAAAGCTCATCTCTAACATATTTGTATCCTTACCAGGAGCAAAGGAGATTTCCTACCCTACTTATAAATAAAACACACTGGGCTGCTGGGCAAATGGCACATTCCACTCCCCTCCTCCCCCACCCCACCCCCACTACCACTACCACTGATATTCAGAGGCCAATTCTCACTCCAGCCCCTGCACATAGTTCCAGCAGCCTAGAGGGCAGTGAAGGAATCAAAAGGAACTCCTCCACTGCGGGAGTAGCATAGGCTAGCCTAAGCAATCCTATGCAGCCTATTGTCTCACAGGCCTCAAGGTAGATGGGCTGAGAGGGGACCTAACCTTAGTGCTCAGAGTTATTGGGATTCTGATCAAAAGCCTTGGCTACACTTGGGGATTCACAGCACAGCGCTCTCTCGCAGCGCTGCAAGTACTCCACCTCTCCGAGGGGAATAGCTTGCGGCACTGCGAGCGACCGTGCAGCGCTGCAGGCGCTGATTACACTGGCGCTTTACAGCGCTGCACTCGCTGTGCTCGGGGGGGGGGGTGCGTTTTCAGACCCCTGAGTGCAGCAAGTTGCAGCACTGTATAGCACCAGTGTAGCCAAGGCCAAAGGAGGAGGGTGTTGGAAGTTAGATCAATCCTGTGGGCTGCTCAAACTTACACCCGGGGCTTTTCCCCTTTCCCCAGGGTTTGCACCTTTAGTGCTGTGCCTCTCAGGAGGTGCCACACAGGATTAGCCTGTAATCTTCTATGAAAGTGTGTGGGTGGGGTGTGGTGGGGGGAGGTTGTTGTTGTAAGATCAGATACTAGACATGACATGAGCATACAGCTCTCATTGATTCAATAGTAGTTTGCATGTGGATTTAAGAACATAAGAACGGCCATACCGTTCGTCAGACCAAAGGTCATCTAGCCCAGTATCCTGGCTACCGACAGTGACCAATGCCAGGTGTCCCAGAGGGAATGAACCTAACAGGCAATGATCAAGTGAGCTCTCTCCTGCCATCCATCTCCACCCTCTGACAAACAGAGGCTAGGGACACCATTCCTTACACATCCTGGCTAATAGCCATTAACGGACTTAACCTCCATGAATTTATCCAGTTCTCTTTTAAACGTTGTTATAGTGCTAGCCTTCACAACCTCCTCAGGCAAGGAGTTCCAGAAGTTGACTGCAGAACATGGCCCAATGCTTAATTGGTTAAGCATTTTGGGAGTGCTTTAGAATGAAAGGGCATATACTAAGTTTAAAGGAGAGCCAGTTTTATGACATTTTCACAGGTTCCACCTCCCATGTTGAAATAGCTGGTCTAGTGCTCTGAAGAGGCAGAGTGCTAGCTGCAGTAGTGCTAAGTATTATGGACTCATAGGGCTGGCTCTCTTCTGAAAGAGTATAAAATAATTTCTAGAAGCTGGGCCATGCCAGATTAGCCACTGGGCCGACGGGGCCCATGCCAAGGGCCCCATTCAACTGGGAGGCCCTGGAAAAAATCTGCTGCCGGGTGGCAGAAGCCCAGAGCACCAGTCGCTGGGTGGGTGGGCGGGGGAAACTCCCGCATGCTGACCCTGCTCTGCGGCAGCAGTGCCGGGTGGGAAAGGGGAAGCTCCCCCCACAGTGGACCCAATCCCATCCCTGGCAGAAGCCCCCGGGTGAGGGAAGCCCCAGCG